GTGGCTGGCGATGCGCAGGGTCGCTCCTTGTCGGGAGACACACGTTCCTTCCGATGAGCTGGAATAACTCATGCTTTGACTGAGCGCTCTTTGGGAGCTGCAGGGAAGCCTTGCCCTGGGCTCAGTCCTGCGGCTGTGCATGCGTGTGGTAACAACATCCCGGCGCATTCCCGCTCTTGTTGGCATTCCGTGCCCCCCGCCCGTGGTCCGTGCTGGTTACCTGTGCTGTGACTCCCCAGGGAGGACAGAGGCCGCTCTCCCCAGAGGGACTTCCACATCCTGTTCGTGCCGCGCCGCAGCCTGCTGTGTGAGCAGTGGCTGAAGGAGCAGGGTGTGCTGGGGTCCTTCATCCACCGTGAGCAGTACAGCCTGGACCTCATACCTTTCGATGGAGACCTGCTCTCCATGGAGTCCGAGAGCGCCTTCAAGGTGAGCACCCGCCTCGTGTCCGAGGAGAAACGTGTCGTGGTTCCGTGCTGCTGGTGTTCGCTCCACGGGCTCTCCGGGTGACTGTGCTGCAGGGACGGGCCTTGCAGAGAAACGTGGCCTGATCCCAAGCGCTGCGCTGAGCCGTGGCTGCACCCCAGCTCCTCCAGCTGTAGCTGCTGGTGCTGTTCGCACAGATCGAGCACTCCTGAGGCTTAAAACACTTTGTTGTTGCAAACAGCAACACTTTTTGTGTTGCTACGCAGCCAAAGAGCCACGTACGGTAGTTAGTACAGAGTATTAATGCAGTATTCATACAGAGCAGGTAATACAATAGTTAATACAGAGTTGCTGTGCTCTAAACTGCACCAGAACTAACAGCTGTCACGCACCAGCAGCATGTCCCGTGCCCTCAGAATGCCATGTCTGGGGACAGAAAGGTCTGAGACTTTCTTTGGTCTTCTCTGCCTTACTAAGTGTAGCCCAGAGGACACACTGGGGCTTGCTGCTGCTTCTTGAGAGCTGTGGTGAGGTGCTGTGTGCTCAGATCGGCCTGGATTAGAGGGAGGGACTCTCTGTAGTTGCTTTCTGTCTCTCTCACTCCTCCCTATCAAGCTGGGAGTAGTGTGTGGAGTTCAAAAACACGAGTATCTGGTCAAACGGTCTGATGCAGTGACGGCGCAGATAAGGTCCATATTTGCCAACAGCCACAGTCTTTTCCCAGCCTGTGTCTCCTCCGAACTGTTCAGAATGACCACGATCTGCTGGGGGAGCGGCTGGGTCGGATCGACACCTTCCATCGGGAATCCTTGTTGTTGTTTAGGAGTGTTACCTGGAGAGCGACCAGACGAGTCTGTACCACGCGGCCAAGGGGCTGATGACGCTGCAGGCTCTGTACGGAACCATCCCACAGATCTTCGGGAAGGGCGAGTGTGCTCGGGTGAGGCAAATGCTGCTGCTGGGAAACACATCTTGTCCCGTGGGACTGCCTGGAGCAGTGTGGGGTTAGATGCACCCGTCAAGTTTCGGAATCCAGCCACGGACCCCTCTTGTCATACCCGAATTTCAGGATCGTGGCCTTGGGTCTTTGTCATCTCTGGCCAAAAGAACGATCTCTGCTGTTCCCTAAGTTTTCCTGTCGGGAGAATTTAGCTGATTTCATGTGCTTTTTGCTCGCAGGTACACTGCCTTTGTGTTCTCAGCAGCTGTTCTTTCTGTGGCGTTTTAACGCTTGGTTGTTGGTATCAGAAGGGCTGAATGAAGTGGGAAACGCTGTAACCTACTGCTCATGCCTCGGCTTTCTCATCTCTCCCTGTAACTCACTCACTCTTTCTTCTCTCTGATCAACCTGTGGTTTAATTGGTACCTTTTATAATGAGGGAGCGGCTCGAGATGAAGCCAGTGCTTTGGCCACAGTCGCTCTCACTCAGCTGCAGGGAGCAGCAGAGGAGGAGTTTGTTTCCTCTCTCTGCTCCTGCCCCTGTTACATCACTGCCGCATCAGATCCATCCCTGGTGGCCTGCACCATAACCAGACCGATGGGGTTTCTTTTCAGCACGTGGCCAACATGATGATCAGGATGAAGCGCGAGTTCCCCGGGAGCCAGAACTCCATATTCCCCGTCTTTGACACGCTCTTGTTGCTGGACCGCAACGTTGACCTGCTGACGCCGCTGGCCACGCAGCTCACCTACGAGGGGCTGATAGACGAAATCTATGGGATCCAGAACAGTGAGTCCTGCTGGGCGAGGGGTCTCTGGTGTGCTGGAGCGTGCTGAGGTGTCTCACGTGGCTTCCTGCTTCACTAAATGACTCCGATGTGGGAGCAGCTCACTGGAACTTAGTGCAGGGATGGTTCGGTCCCAGGCTAGAGCCCGTCAGGATCAGCGCTGGCTCTCTGCACAGGCAGGGGAGTCGAGAGCAGTGCTTGGTTCCTCAATGGGCTTGTTGTGGATGTGGGCTGGGTGCAGTCGAAGTGACACGGAACACATGGTGTGGGGGTACAAATGTTAGTGTGTGCTCTCGTGTCACATGAGGGGACAGGCACAGTTTGTGAAAGGCTATTCAGAGCCGTCTCTGGCTCTTGAGGGGGTAGAAAGAGTAACTCCAGAGAGGCATTTTTGGGTTTTATTCCCTCCTGGTGTACTGCCCCCAGGCCTTGTTGAAAGCTTGGTGGTTAGCACCTGAGTTCTGATCATGTCTGTGTAAGTCTCTGGGTCCCTGGGGGAGCACAGGGAGTCTCTCCTTAATTAACACATATGCACTGAGCTCTCTGGGCATTTATATTAGCTTTGCTGCTCAGAACTGTTTCCTGCTCAGGGGACACATTTCCAGTCTGTTTACCTCTGGTGGTGAAGTTCCTCTCTTCGTAAGGGTTATTTCTCTGCACTTGGTAGCTTATGTGAAACTGCCTCCTGAGAAGTTTGCCCCGAAGAAGCAGGGTGAGGGTGGGAAAGATCTCCCCACAGAACCCAAGAAGCTGCAGCTGAACTCTGCTGAAGAGCTCTACGCTGAAATCCGAGACAAGAACTTCAATGCTGTGGGGTCAGTGCTGAGCAAGAAAGCCAAGATCATCTCTGCAGCCTTTGAGGTGAGGCCTGGATCCAACTGTGCATCCCTTGGGCATTCTTGTTGTCGGAGAAGTCAGTGTCTGCATTCAGCAGGGCTGTGATTGGCAGCTCGAGCTGTTGCCATGGAGTAATCCCTCAGCCAGATTAAAACCAGGTAGTCTGGTTTAGAGTACTGGTCAATTCCACTTTGTTGCTGTTGTTTCCTGTTAACTGAAAGGTTCTTTCCACTGAAGATGCAGAGAAAAGGCTTTAAGGAATAGAACTCCACAATGTGCATCCACAGAGCATTACGGCTGCTGTAAAAAGCAACAGGAATGTGAAAAGACACTTGTCTTACAGGAGGTTTGACCTGTAAACTCACACTCACGTGTCACCTTAGATAAAGCTGGAGGGTGCTGTGGGCTGTGCCTGTGGTTTTGTTCAAAAACATCCTGTTGATGATTCATAAAGAAACTGAGATCCCATGTTTCTGCTTTCAGGCTTCATGGTGAGCCTCAAGAGAACACGTTACACTGTTTGTATTTGTTTCCTTGGAGGGGGTTCTCTGCCTCTTCACTTCTGCCACATGTAAGACTAGGTAGCGGTACCTTATCTGAAATAGCGTGTGCTCAGCCTCATCTCCTGTTATTGCAGTATTAGAGGTGAAGGTGCTAAAGATGGATTATTCCTACTGGTTGTTAAAAAAAACCAAGGAAACTTAACAAACTGTCAGAGGTAATAGGTGATAATGAAGCAGTGACACACTGGCAGCAGAGGACTCCTTCATTGCAGGCTGCGTCATTATCACCCTCCTGCCTGCACTTGCCCATTTAAATCCTTCACATGAGTCAAATGATTATTTTTATTCCAAGTTGCAGCAAGAGGCACAAATGAAACACAGATCTCTGGACTGCTCTGAGAGCTGAAGTCTGCACTGTGCTTCATCACATCCTTGCTCAAAACCTGGGACATTGTTACAGCCAGGTACAGTGAATGGCAGGCTCCTGCTCACGAGGGACACAGACCCCACCAACCCAGTTCCTCAGCACCTTCCACTGCTGCTCTGGGGGGAAGTCTCTGAGTGCCTTTGCCTACAGCTCTGTGGTTACTGGCAGTGAGCAAAGTAACTCATCTTTGTCTGAGAAAGGTAGTTCTGATGGTAGGGAAACAGGAGCAGAGAGTGATGGCTGAAGTCTGATAAACATGAAGAAAATTAGATACTAAGAAGTAGTTCTTCCCTGTGAGGGTGCTGAGGCGCTGGCACAGGGTGCCCAGAGAAGCTGTGGCTGCCCCATCCCTGGCAGTGTTCGAGGCCAGGTTGGACACAGGGGCTTGGAGCAACCTGCTCTAGTGGAAGGTGTCCCTGCCCGTGGCAGGGGTTGTAGCTGGAGGAGCTTTAAGGTCCCCTCCAACACAAACCATTCTATGACAAAAAGTGACTGACAACACTGGCAAAATGGGAAAAAAGCAGTCTAATGATCCTGCGTTACATCCTCCCTCTTGTAATGACCAAAGTGCTCTTCCAGGGAATACTGTGACTTTAGTGTAAGCATTTGAAGTGTTTTGTCTAAAAGGTTGTGTGTACGTAACAGTGAGTACAGTGAAAAACCTCCTCGTGACACAACGATCTGCTCTGAACAAGCACTAACCAAAACGCTGGTTTCTTCAGGAACGCCACCACGCGAAGACCGTTGGGGAGATCAAGCAGTTTGTCTCACAGCTGCCACACATGCAGGCGGCAAGAAGCTCTCTGGCAAACCACACCTCCATTGCAGAACTCATCAAAGACATCACCAGTGAGTAGTCCTTCTTCGTCAGTGAGTGTCACAGTTGTTCTAACTCATTTAACCACAGCAAGAGGCAAGACAACTTGATGGGCATTATTCAGCTTGGCAGAAATCGGCCTTGCTCCATCCAGTGCCTCTCTGCTGAAATGTTAATGTAGGGAATAAGCTGTTGGTTGCTGTTCTATTGATTTTCATTCTTTTCCCAAAGCATCTGAAGATTTCTTTGATAATTTAACGGTGGAACAAGAGTTCATGTCTGGAATAGACACAGACAAGGTAAGCAGCTAATGACAATTAGTGACGCTTAAAAACAAGAAACCCAAACCCAGTGTATTTCTCTGGGGGTCTTTTTTTCTGTGAGAGGAAATATCTGCTCTAGGTGATGTCTGTCTCCTTCCAGTGTCAAGGCTGGGAGCTCTCATATCCATCTTGCACATTTGCAGTTCGAGGCATCAGGGCAAGACTGAAGACTGTTAATTGTGATTTTTTCAGTGCACCAGATAAAGTTGAGCTATTGACTGGAATTGTTGTGCTTTAGAAAGACACAAGGTGGAACCAGAGCTGGATGACTGATTTACTGGTCGTGAGATGCTTGGAGAGCAGCTGCCCACTCTTGCTTGCTGTTTCAGAGACACTAGGCAAAACCAGTGTCTTTCACTCCAGGTCTTCTAGGCACTTCAGTAGGTCTTTAAATAACAGCTTACGTATTTTTATTTCTTTATTTTTAATAGGTTAACAATTACATTGAAGACTGCATAGCTCAAAAACATCCATTAATCAAGATCTTGCGCCTCGTTTGCTTGCAGTCTGTGTGCAATAGTGGACTGAAGCAGAAGGTTCTGGACCATTACAAAAGAGAGATTCTCCAGGTTGGGCTGAGCTTTTGGATCCACACATTTCTGAGACAATCCCACCAAGTCCTGAGCTCTGCAGCACTTGCATTCTGGACAGACCCATCAACACATGGGCAGTGCTGACTGCCAGGGTGTGCAGAGGGAGCACTGAGGCGTCTGGGTGGGCTGACAGCAATGGCTCAGGAGGTACTGATACGTGTTTTACAACACGTAGATACAGAGGGGTTTGTATCATTGCACTTCTTACTATTATGATTGAAACACTCCAGATTAACCAGAAAGCTTTTTAAAGTGAACATCTTTGCCTTTGTATTTTTTAAACACTCTGGTCATGGATTGTTGACGTGGTATTAACAGTGAATTCTTCACGTTGCAGACTTATGGCTATGAACATATATTGACCTTGAATAACTTAGAGAAGGCCGGACTCCTGAAACCTCAGACAGGTGGTAGGAATAACTACCCAACGATCAGGAAGACCCTGCGCTTATGGATGGATGATGTTAATGAACAGGTAAACAGGCACCTTCCCAGTGACCACTACATCTAATGATACAGAACTGTGTGCAGCAGGAAAACCTTCATCTTTGTTTTATCATTACTACTTTATGGTGCTGTTCTGCAGCGTGAAGCAGCTCTCACCCCTGCTCACACTCTGCTCTCTCCTGCAGAACCCCAATGACATTTCCTACGTGTACAGTGGCTACGCGCCGCTGAGTGTCCGCCTGGCACAGCTACTGGCTCGCCCGGGGTGGAGGAGCATAGAGGAGGTTCTGAAGATGCTGCCGGGTCCCCATTTTGAGGAGAGGCAGCAGCTACCCACTGGCCTTCAGAAAAAGCGTAAGTTTTGCTTTGGTTGCCCATTTTTTAAAGGCAGAAGCATGTCTGTGTGGCTGGAATGAAGCAAACTGAAATCAGGGCTGGCAGAGTCCAGGCACCTATCTCATCTCCCTGTCCCACTGCAGTATTTGGTCTCCCAAACCTATTTTGGACAGATAGCTTTCTGGCCTCTTTAAAACATCCAGTCACAAACTCAGCCTGCTGTTAGTGCACATCACCGTGTGGACCGAAGACAGACCAGAGCTGTAACGTTTGTTTAACTTCTCATGAGAGTACTCAAATAAGCCCTAACTTGCACTGTGAGTTTAAGAACTAACCTTACTTTGCACTCTCTAGTCTTAAGCCTGGGCAGGCAGGAGCATATCCTCTAAAGAGACCCCAGAGCTGGGAGGAGAGTCTTCATTTCTGGGCCTAGTGTTTTGCCCGATAGGTTTCTCCTCTAATTCAGCCACTATCTTTAGTTTTAGGGTTAGTTTGAGTTTGACTGACAGCTGATGTACAAATAGAACCTGTAAATGTCTCCGAACACACAGGTCAACACGGTGAGAACCGAGTCACTCTGGTGTTCTTCCTGGGGGGAGTAACGTACGCAGAAATCGCTGCGCTGAGATTTCTGTCCCAGATGGAAGATGGAGGCACAGAGTATGTCATTGCCACTACAAAACTGATCAATGGGACAAGCTGGATCAAATCCTTGATGGAAAAACTGGAACCTGCCCCATTCTAAGAGCTGTGGTGAGAGACAGTGAAGGTGGGAGGCCCCATGAACACAGGCACGTCAGCTTCTGGTCTTTTGGCATGGCTTGAACATCAGGGAGACAAGACAGTGCAAGAAGCTCTCCTGAGACCAGCTCGTGATGCAGTTACCCTCATCCCTCTGCACTTGTGTACCTACTGTTTGTGGAACTTCCTAGTAGACAAAGTAGCTCCTTTAGAGCTGAAAGACACTAACAATGAAGTAAACAGTAGGAGAAAGAGAGATCCCTGCTCGTGGTCTGGATTTGGCAAACAAGTGATGGGGTGGCAGGGATTGGGCCTGGTCCTTCCATTTGGCAGATTGCTGGGGGTTTTTCCCTTTACTTTCAGTGGAAATGTGATTATTTCTTTTTACCCTCCTAAGGTGCAGAGGAGGCAGGATGTGTTTTCTGTTCCTGCTGTCATACCAATATTCCCAGCTGACTGCACAATGGAAAGAGAACTCCTGCAGAGGAGAAGCAGTAACTTTTTTACTGCGTATGTTTAGAAACTTCCTGGCTCTCAGGCATCCAGAATAACGCAGCTGCAGGACATGCTTGGCCTGTGGTGGCTCTGACAAGCTGGCTGTTATGGTTAGGTGCCTGTAGGGCACACTCAAGTCCACTGTCCTGAATGCTTTGGCCAGGACATTCATTGCGTTTCCTGCAGTAGCAGCTAAACCTGGAACTATCCACATGCACGTCAACAGCACTGACTATGAAAACAAGCAACTGCACCCAAATTATGAGGGAGATGCTTGAGTCTTTTACTGCAGTCGCCTGCTGAAGGCTTCTTTGTCCTGGGTACACCCACCTGACTCAGGAGAGCTACTCCAGGGTATGAATTACATCAGTATGTCAAGAGCTTATGTCTGAAGACACACAAACACCTCCTGTGTGGGACTCAGGCCAAAACCAGCTATGTCAGTGTCCCAGTAAACAGCGGGTTTCAAACAAGCAGACTCTTTTTTCACTCCCCCTGTTCAGTTTACAAACTAACTGTGGTACTTGCTGCCACAACTGGGGCAGAGCTCAACACTATAAAATGGAATTTTCCATGGTCTTGGTGGCAGGGCCCTCAAGGTGTTGCTTTAAGATTTGAGTTCTGACAAATCAGCCCCATCACAGAGCTCCTGTGTCTGTTGGACTCCACTTGGCTCGTTAGAACAAAATAAAAAGTGTTTGATCTCTTTTTTTTTGGAAGTGTTTCTCTCTTTTCACTGCAATAAAGCCTAAATAATATAACCCAAACCTCTGCACTGTGGTCACTGTGTTCTTCTCCCTCTGCCCCAGGATAATTGAGTTACTTGAACTGAAACTATTTCTCTAACAAACAGCTCAAGGCTTTTTCTTTAAGTTTACACACTAATTCCATTGTGTTCTGCCACTGAACATACTATATAACAAAGATCTATGGGATTCCTTGACTTCTAAAGAAAGATGATACATTTTTAATCCTTTGAGACTTCTTAATTCAGGTGGTCAAGTTGCACACTTGTCCTGCAAAAACAAAACATGCTGCAACTTTTGACAACAACGTGAGGAGCAAGCGTGGGTTGCCTTGTTCTGAGTTACTGCTGTAGTTCCACTGTGAAGTACCAACTTCATAGTATTTAAAAAGAAAAGTAGGTTTGGATCAAAACTTAAGATGTTACTGGGCAAAGAAGAACATGAGCGTGTCCTTGGCTGGGCCCTGAGGGTCTTTGTACTCTCACAATTTCCAGATTTTTTCTTTTTTTAATCTTAAAAATGGAACTAATCACGAGGAAATTACAGCTCTGCTCAGGCTGCTTTGTGAACTGAGGTCAGGACGTGTAAAAGCTACACCACAAGCAAATAAAGGAACCCATTCAAGAGCTTGCTTACCTTTCCACTTGGCCCAGAAATGTGTGTGTTGTTTGTTAGTAACACCAAAGGCAAAACTTACGTTGAAGACGGTTCACTCCCAACACTTGGTAAACTCTAATTAATCACCACCACTGCTGCAGTTTTTGCAGTGCAGCCCTGCACCAGCACACTGAGCTGGAGCCATGCAGACACTCACCCTGAACAAAGTCTCTTCCTGGAACTATTCAACACCACCACCACAAACTAAAAGCCATCCTGACATTGATCAATTCTCTGGAGGAGCAATTACTTCTTAACAGGCTTCCTGAGCAGCTTGTTTATGTTCTGCTTCTGGCTAAGGCCTTGCTGACCACGCGGGTAATAATCTGATAACAAGAGAGCCCAATTAAATTAAGGGGCCATTTTCTACATCATCATATCTTTGTGAATAAGAGATTTGATTTGCAGTACATACTCTTCCCTCTCTGCTGTCTGCATTTGTCTGGTTTACAAGCAAAAAACCATAAACCATTACCCAACCTCCACCTCAGGAGACAAATTTCACTTTTCATAGAATAATATCAGAAAACAGTTTTGCTACAAATAAATATATAGCTTATATCTCCCTCCTCCCCCCTGCTGCAAGAGTGCTCACTCTCTAAAAGGTAGGGGTGACTGTTTGGGTGTGCAGGGTTAAGGTAGAGCAGGGAACTAATGACTAGTGCAGTGAGGAGGTGGCTTAGCACTCGCTCTTCTTTGATAAGAGAGGCTGAATCAGTCCACACAGGTACAGCAAACAAAGTGCTGCTGGCCTGACATGATTCCCCATGTGAGCATCCTTCTCCCCGAGTGACTCCCAGGAGCAGTGGGCTCTCAGAGAATGAAGCAAGAGGCACAACAGCATTCCACACAACTACAGAATGATGTGTAACTAGCTGCAGGAGAACATACAAAGTGACACAACACTTTTTGCTAGAGGAAAACAAAGCACACATTTAAACAAATGCAGTTTTGACCTGGTAACATTAAGCCATGGTACTTAACCTCACCCAATACTGTTCACAAAAGCACTCTGGGGAAGGGGAGCTATTTGGCATGCTCTGTTTTGCTGTGCTATGTCATATCATAACTGGTCCTGGCCACACCTAGTGCATTAGTCCTCGTGCGGGCTGCAAACACAACCTCATTACTCCCGGCTGCCGGGTGAGCAGAGCAGAAGGGGATTAAACTACACCTCAAACCTGTTCAATTCAACGGACAGCTGCAGAACAAAACTGGAACAGGAACTTTACGAAGTAGAGCCCATCATCTACCTGGGTAAGCAGCTTGCTTACTTCTTTGTCCACTTCTTTTTAGACAAGCAGAAATCACGTAAAGCGTATAGATAGAAAACCTGAATGCTTTGAACAGCAGGAAACCATGCCTGGTTTTAAAACGCAACAGCTCCTCTAATGTATACCTGTGCTTGAGCTGAGACTGAAATGACTGAGCTCTTTAGTAAGACCAAAAAGTGAACTCTTCATCACAAAAGCTCTTCAAAAATACTCTAAGTACCAGGGTGGGAATTCAGTTTATTTTGCTGGCTTTAGACTGTTTAGAAGAGAAATAATCCTTTCAGGTTAGCTTTATCTTAAGTCTGGTCCTAAATCCCCTTTATGTGCTTGACCAAGAGTGTGGCTATATTTGACCAGGCAAAGTCATGATCAAAATTGAAAAGAATATGTAAATTGGAAAGATGGTAGAATTATTTTTTACATGGGTCTTCACAGCTTTAAGTCTTAAGGAGCCAATAACTTTTGTGGAAGAGTTCAGATTTTATATGAAACTAACAAATGAGCAATCGCTTCTAAAATGATGTGCAACTATGACTTTAAAATACAGCTAGAAGATGAATTCTAAAGCATCTTATCCCATGTTTTCCACTTAAGGGTTATTTTTAACGTGAGATATAAATATTTGCCTGTGCGAACTTGTATTCAAGCCCCAGTTTTCGTCATTCTTAAATAAAAGGCTCAGTTTGTGCCAGTATCTCCATTAGATGCAATTATATCATTAAATATTAATGGTGGCTTCCTTGGAGGAATTGACCACTTTGATCAGAACACATTGGTGGTAATGCACCATCAGCGACCGCTCTGAACATGAAGCTTCCCAGATGCACAGCCACTGGCACAGGGGGGAGGATCCCAGGAGGCAGCTGGAGTCTGTCGGGGCCTCTGCCCCACACCAGCACTGCCTGCGTGTGCCTGTGTTTTAATTTGCTTAGTTACCAGTCCTCATTTGGAGACTTTGATCACGTCCCGAACTCCTTTTCAACACTGCAGCTCAGCAGCCCTCTTTCTTACACACACAAGTACAACCTGACACTGACAACCTTCTAAGAGGGATGGGTGGCTGAACGCACCCATTTCTCCCCAAAGCAGAGCCAACCCATCGGCTCTGGAGTCTCCTCGCTCCGAAACACCCACCCTGTCTCTTTGCTTGCAGACCAGGAGCAGCACAGCAGCAGCCAACCCGAGGCCCTACCTGCTGCAGTGCTGGGGAGCACCATGCCCGACTCCTTCACCATCCACTAAGGGAGCTGCTGGCCTTCGTGCTCTTCAGTTACACCGTGCTGGTCGGGGCGCTGCTGCTCGCTGGGTGGACGACGTACTTCTTAGTGCTTAAATGAGAGCTCTCCAGAGGCAACAGGCTCCACCGTGCAGCTCATCCTGCACGGCTGCTCATCACACGGGATGGTCCCTTCATCCTGCGAGTGTCTTGCTCTGTTACTGCCTAATCACAGTCTTATTTTCTTATGTAAAAACAATAAAGGTTTCAAAAGCATCTACATGCACGCACCTGACGGCTCTTTGTGGCTCTTGCAGCTTCTTTGTGGCTCCTGCTCCCCAAAATGTTTAAAAGCCTCCCAGCAGTTTTATCCCCCGATTCCCACCGCATGCTCTGCCTCAAGAGCACAGCAGCCTGCCAAGAGGGACAGGAGGGATGCAACACAATTCAAACATGACCAACATCTCATAGGAACAAGTCCTGCCTTGTCCAACTCTGCCTCATTAAGGGTGTGAAGACTGAGATACAGAAATTACTTGTAATTATTTTTAGACGTCCTGGAAAAAGACATCTCAAATCAGCAGGAGGTTTCACTCTTCCTACAGTTTTATGAGGTACATTTCATGGGGGGAGGGGGGACCAACACCATGTTATTATCTACAGGCTTGTTA